CATAGCATCGATCATTACAGGGTATTATCCCTGATTGAATTTAGCCAATCAGAATTTCTTCTAGAATTTTTCATACCGTCGATCATTACGGCATTTAGTATTTCAAAATTTGGTAAAATACTTGACTGCAGTAAGTGTGAAATCCTGTCTGGCTGTTATGTAAAAATATTATACAAACTGTTGATGAAAATTTTTTTTGTTATTTTTACATTTTGTATTAATGCTCCATGAATATTTGATCAATAATTATGAACATGTATATATATACATTTGAGACTAAACGAAGCAACATTTTCTAAGTTCCCAAGATGTGTTAAAACATTGTATCTTAAAATAGCTCTAAGTGCTACTTTTTCAAAAAATTTTCAAAAAATTTTAATTCAACTTTTAAACATCATATAATTATCAATAACAATTGGCCCAATGTGATATTTTAGATTATTATGTTAATCATTTCAACAAACATTTTCTTACTAATACACAACATCGATTTGCTTAGTAAAAAAACGAGTATTTGTATTACCCGTTTATTCGATTATTTTGGCGGATAATCAAGTGAGTCAATACTTTTGTAGGGGTGTGTAAGTATGACAGAATTATTTTGTAAGAGGTGGATAAAGAATTGTTCATTTTTATTAAGTAACAGGGAAATAAAGAATTCTTTCTTTTTAATAGATACAAAGGTTATTAAAACAAAAGTACAAGAATGCAGACAAAAAAGCTTATGTAGTTGAAATTATACATGCAATCCAAATTGGTTTGGTGGTTTAGATGATCAAAATTATTCCAATTTTGATAGTAGGAAGTAGAAAATAATTACGGCATTCATTATTAAAAACATAACTGTAACACCCTTTTATTACATGTGTAGCCCCCCTTTATGACAGTGTCAAAATACTTTAGGCTGCATATATAGTTGAAATTATTATAAATAAGTCATGAATCAAGAATTTTACTTAATAACTAAACTCTTGTAATCAACTTTAAAAATAAAACTTCTATTATAAATTAACCTTATCATTAATAAATTAAAAATAATATATATTCTTACATTTCCAACCATCTAATTTTTGCACTCACACTCATCTCATCAAATATTTTATTCTTTTATTGCTTCTAAATAAAATGCCTCCAAAAAGATTAACTTTATCTAATTCTCAAAATATGAATTTTGTTTATTCTAGTCAACAAATAAAACTGGTTAATTCTCTTGATAGATATATTAGTTTGAAAACAATAAATACAATAGAATCTTATCTTAATCAATAATTATATAAAATTTTTCTTTGATAATGATGTTATAATTAATTAATAAATTTTTATTTTTATGCAAAAATTTTTTATTCTTTATTGGAGTCATGTGCAACAAATGAAATGCTTTGTTTCTCTAAGTGCACGCTATCACTCATTCCCAAGGGGGTACACTTAGAGGGGTTGACTATATTTACTTTTAAGGTAATTGTAAACAAATTTTAAAATAGGTTAATAATCATTAACACCAAATCTTTATGTTTTTGGTTAACCAATTTTGCATTGTTATAAAGCAAAAGTCGGTTTATAGTGATTTGGCTTATCGAGATTTGACAGTATACATTTGAAATAATAAATTATTGGTATGATTCCTCTATATAATTAATTACCGGAATTAATGTGAAGAATGAACGTAACAAGCCTTGGTTTTTACAATTAGTGATGTTAGCCGATAGAAAAACCTTAGCCGGCTAAGAACTTAATAAATCCCAATTGATGAAAAATCTTTTTAGATGGTACTAAGCTTGCCGACATCATTACTATTAATATTGTTATTATTGTTGCTATTATTTACTATTGTTATTATAATATCTCGCCTTTAATGGTTCAAATTATTTGTTTTATTCACTATGAATTTGAGTATTCAAATTACATTGAAAGTTTTATTCGAATAAACGAATAAAAACGAATAAAACGAATAATTCGAATAGAACGAGTAATAATAATTCGAATAGAACGAATATGTAATTCAAATAGAACGAATAATTTGAATAAAACAAATAGTTCCCAATAAAACGAATAATTCGAATAAAATGAATGATAATAATTTGAATTAAAATAAAAAATTGTATTACGAATAGAAACTCTATGACTTTTATCCTGTTATGATGTATTATATTTTGCCTTTTGAACAAATGTATGTTTTTTTTGTCATTCTAAGTAATGTAGGTGGACCATTTCAACTAAATGTCTATGCCATTGAATTCTGCACTAAAATTCCAGACGTAAAAATGAATGTCAAGAGGAATTTTTTTTAGCCGGCTAACATCACTAGACATACCCAAATTTGTGTACATGTTATAAAGTGGGTGGTAAGTATATACTCGTATATATCTATCGCCGAATAATACTTGCATCAATCTAATCACAATATTGTGCCAACAGTTGTGTGTCCGTTTAACGAAAGCTGGTTTGATTACTAGTATGAAAAAGAGGCGCATGTCGTGTTATTCTGAAGTACGAATTACTAAAAAATTGGCACAACTTAGAGAGTCGGAAATTTGGCTTAGTATTTTTGTTTTTTTGTAATACTTAATTCAAAACTTTAAATATCAAAGTGTATATAATGACGAAAGTAGAACCTCGTTAATCATTAGGTCTGCCATGCTAGTTACTAAAATATGGACGCCTGCAATTTTTCATGTATATTCACTTTGTCTGGTTTATTCGTCAGAATCAATATCTTTTAGGTGTAATAGTAACAAATCGAAAAATCAATCTAAAATCGTGTAACATTGCGAAGTAGAAAAAAAAACCTACAAGTTAAAAGTTTTTTGAATGTACCAATCCAAATTTTTTTTATTTCAATTTCTTGTTTTCTTAAACTAGCAAGCAACAAGGACTATTACTGAGAAACAAGCTCTGAAGAATTAATTGTGGAGAAGCTACCAAATTTTTTTCAAACTACAAGTGATTTAGAATGACAAATACAATAACAAGAAAAAGCTAAAGAATTGGAACAATCAGCGCAACAAATTACTAAATTAAAAAATGACGTTAATAAAGAGTATACAATTACCAAAGAAGTTATTATTATTATTGAGAGATCCGAAATTGAATGTTATTCGAAGATTAACTGAGCGAGCGATAACGATGAATTCCTTATATTGTATAACAAATATGACAAATAGATCTCTAGATTTAATTAATTCGCCAATAAAAAAGTTAAACCAAAAAACCCAACAATTAGAAACGTCATGTATCATTCAAGTCACTCAAAATTATAAAACTAAATTCAGTTAATATCAATGAGCAAAATTATAATGTAATGTTTTTTTTTAAATAAAAAACAATCATGCACAATACAAATAAAAAACCAGACATTTATTTAAAAATGTTTCACATAAAAGATCAAATCTAATCTGGCGATAAAAAAGGATTGTTTATCAGTCATCCATCATCTTTTTAAAAACCATAAATTGGCTATTAATTTAAACTATTTAGTTAAAAAGTTTACAGTCAATCTGATAAATGTTCTGTATCTAATAATCAATAATTAATTTCCCGTCCATAAAAAAAAACAAGATTTACATAAAAAGCCAACGTAAAAAACTCTCTAAATATGAGTATGTAATAATAATATATAATATATTAATATAATACACAAATTAATTTAAAAATTTTTTTTTTCAATTTTCGAAGGCATTTTTTTTAATAATGCTCGTTCACTTTCCTTAATAACGACTACAAGGATCATCATTAAAAATAATACTCGTAACTTATCCTTCTCTTCTAGTTTTAACAATAACAACAACAATAAAAGTGATAATAAAATTAAAGAATTACTTGAAAATAATAAAAAATGGTCAGCAGATAAAAATAAAAATGATAAAGGATTATTTGATAAACTTAAAGAACAAGATCCAAAAATTCTTTGGATTGGTAAATTTTAAATTTGGTTTTGTACTTACATTCATTATAGTTATATAAGATTAAATAAAGGTAATCAATTCTTTTTATATAGGATGTGCCGATTCTCGTGTTTCACCTGAACTTATCACTCAGTCAGGATTTGGAAAATTATTTGTGCATCGTAATATAGCAAATCAATTCAAATCCGATGACACCAATTGCATGTCAGTGTTAGAATATTCTGTCAAAGTTTTGGAAGTTTGTCACATTGTTGTTTGTGGTAAATCTTAATTTAAAACATTTAATTTTGCTTTTAATGAAAAAGATTAATAAATAATATCTTTTTTCTCTCTCCCTTCCTCTTTAGGCCATAGAGGTTGTGCTGGAGTAAGAAATTGTTATAATAAAGATCTTGAACCTAATCTAATAAAATGGTTGAAAGGAATCCATGAATTGGGATCAGTAAATCCCGAATTCTCTCAATCTAATCCGCATTTTGGAACTGATGAAGTTCAATATAAATTGGTCAAAGCTAATGTCGTGAGACAAGTGGAGAAAATTAATGAAAACCATCTTGTTAAATTTGCTAAACATAAAATACAAGTTCATGGATTGGTTTTTGATATAAAAAATGGCTTATTAGAAGATTTGACTAAATGTTAAATCATAAACATAAATTCAAAACTAAACAAAAGCACAAACAAAATAATAATTTTTTTTAGCATATGATTTTTTTTGTCGTTTTTTTTCTTATACATAATAATAATAACGATATGATATTATTGGAAATTAATCATGTAGCAAAAATTTTAAAAGAAAGAAAGAAACTAATTAAAGCAATTACTACTATTATTTATTATTAATTGAATCAAAGATTATAGTGAATATATTTATAATTTTAGCGGTTCAAAAAATACTAATAATCGTAATCCCCATCAAATAAACTTGTTATAAATCATTGTACAGATATATTACTTCTTTGGGGGAACTCAAGATGAAAATAAACAAGAATAAATTATCATTCTCTCATTCGTCAATTCATCCTTAATCCATCCATTCCTTCATTCATTTGTTCATTTACTTGGTTGCGCATATTAATAGTTGACAGCTCTGTTTTCAAAAAGGGTTCCTCTCTTTTTGAGTTTAGTTTTGATTTTTTTTAAGAAAACATTTAGTGAAGTCTTTGTTTTCGGGATCACTAACTCATCTCAGTTTTCGCAAGATAGATATTGACTATTATGTTTGTAAAATGTAGAATTTCCCTAACCCAAGATTATTACGAATGGAGATAATAATAATAGTAGCAAGCTTATCTCATCAGAAGTTAGAGTTCCACGTGAATCTTACAATAATTGTAAATCTATAAATTCTCCACTAACCATAGTAGCATAGTGGAAGTTTGTTGTTACACGAAATGTTATACAGAACCCATTGCTCCTACCAATTTAAATTGGAGATCAGATCACTTACTTTTTATTGCCAGAATGTTTGCCGTGTATTGTAAAGCTACGTTGCACAATATAAAAAATTAGTGTAACAATTTAATGTTTATTTATAGAACAGAATCACTATCATTAGTTATCAGCAACAGAAAAAACCGCAATAAAAAGTAAAATGATGCTAGAAAAACGAAAAATATAGACTTTTGATGACAAGAAATATTTGGCTGAATCGTTTAAATACAGTAATTCCTATTTGTTCTTCTAGATGCATTCAAAAATAAAACGGGTATCACTCATGGTTAAATATTATGATGCTGAAAGGTGTTTTGTAGCTTTTTCCAAAGGTTCAAGAAACAGGAGAGTATCCCATAGAACATGATAAATTATTAATTAGTTAAAGAATAAATAATTTTTTTTGTCGAATTTGAAAATAATTATTAATTATTATATATAGAGAAAGTGAAAGAGAATTGAAAATTTATTATTAACATTTCCTGATCAGTTTTAAAGATCCAACCTACTTAATTACAGTTAAATCATCTTCTTTAGGGTAAAGATCCCAACATCGCCATTATCAGTAGCAAGTAAGACCAGCGCTGACAGAAGTTTTTCCAAACGTTTTAACGTGTAATATGTTAAGTTTTAGCGAGCCTCCACATCCAAAATGGGTTTATGATAAATTATTTCTTTTACATTGCAGAAAATGCAAAGTTTATCACAAAGGAAAGTTGAATCTTGATTTTGATCATTAGTTCCTTTATCAACCGAGTCACCAATTAGTTGTAATCTTTGTTTCACACCTATATTCAAGGCATGTGCTGCACAACGATAATGTAAAAAATTCATTGAAGAAAGTTCAATATTAAGGGCATTTGGAACTTCTCTTCCACATAACAATCATTGTAGATTCATTGTCTGTGGTTAGTGCAATAATTTTACAGTCATGTCTCTTTTATAAAACCATCTGGCAACCTGAACATGTTGAAATGGAAGAGGACATGAGTGAAGAAGAATCAGTTATTTCTATAGAAGAAGGAAGGAAAGGATTTGAAACTGCAAAAAAATTCTTTATTGGTGAATTAATAAAACGTTCAAGTAGTTTTGTAGATAAAAACAAAAGGCCAATCCTAAAAAATTTTTAAATTAGAAATCATGTAAAATGAGAGCTCTTACTATATTACACCTCAATTATATTAATATTAATATCCCACAAAAATCCAGATCCCGGAGGGGGATATAAAAGAAGTATGATCGTATTGGAAATCTGGATTCATCTAATACTAAAAGATATTATGGTATCAAGGAAGAAGTTACAGAAATATCAGTTTGAATTTATATAATGTATAGTAATTCTTAGATAGGTCTACCTAGTCATAGAAGTCTACATGTTAGTTATCGATGAATATCGCCCCTCAATTTGATCAAGATCATTAATAATTTGATTCTTCTAGTATTGAATGTACTGATTATAAGATCTTTTACTTGGTAACGCTCAGGAACAGAAGTAATTGATGAGTTCACTGAAATAAGAGTTTTCAACAATGGTAAAGGGCCGGAGGTCACCAATCAACCATTGAATAAGGTATTTAGTATTTTATTTTGTTCCTGCTGGTTGACTAAAAGGATCCGTTCTGGTCGTGGTTCTTTATTTCCTAGGAGGTGCATGTAATTGATGTAACTTGAGATGTTTACGAAGAGTTGACACACTTGTTGTTAACTCATACTTTGTTGAACATGTTTTACAAACATTATGTCCAGGTGCGTAAGCTGGTCGTTTATAAAAAACTTTCTACACAGTGCTTTTCGTTTGACAAGGTAGTAGAAACATCAGTGTCTGTTTCTGATTACACATCAGTAATGACTTGACCAACAGATTTATTAGGGTTGATGTCAAAATCTTCTTATAGAAGTTACTCGTTTCTTGATAATCAAAGATCTCTTGCATTTATTTATCCATTTCACAACAATATAAGTGATTTAAATTTATATATTTATACAATCATGTCAGTAATGTAAGTATCAAACTAAATACAATGTTTGTATTACGATAATAAATTGATATCAAATAAAGGAAACTTTTGTGTTTGTTAGATGCCAGTCCTTTTTATATATAATAGTTGGCAAGATGACAAAACTGGTAAAATTGAGAGTGATAATGGCGCGAGAAAAATAATTCAACCGTAAATGAATAAAGGTTTCATATTTCATTGCATGATTTCGAATTTTTATTATATGATATTTTACTACTCGATATTTCATTACATTAGTATAAAATTTGGCCCAATGTGACATTACATTTTTGAATATCATCCGAATGATCTTTATCACGCATGATATTCACATGATCATTATCATATTTTCGAATATACTGAATTTGTTTAAATGATAGTTCCTAAACAAACATGCCAAGATTAACAGATTAAAAATGAATCAGGCAAATGATTGATTAAATTAAAATTATAACCATTTGCCTGAATGTTTCACATTTTGTAAGCTTTTCAGATGCCATTCAAGGTGTAAGTTCATTTATGAATCTACACCTATTATAATCTCCTCTACTTAAAGAAATTTGTAATTTTCACCGTTTCAATATTCTCAATTAGCTAGCAAGAATACATGTATATTATTGCATCTAAAAATAAAAATAAAAAATCAATCACACAAAATGTGATAAATTGGGCATTCGTGGTAGAAATTCAAGCCCAACGCAACCGTTTTTAATTTTTGTTTCCAATTAATATTCAAATCAAATACCATTACTCTATATACTGTACATCAAAAGTGATATACCAAGAAACGTTACTGTATGTATGGTTTGATGAGAGTAATTTACTTAAAGTTTCTAAATGTGTGTGTGAGTGAAAATTTCTTCTTCAAATTGTTTCTCTGTAAAAACTTTTCCACATCTTGTTGCTTGTTCTCTTAAATCTTCTGGAGAGATTTATTTTATTTCATGTGATTGTCTATTCTTATTAGTCATTGATTCAAGTAATCTTACTGATTGGATATTATTAGCAGTCATTAAAACCATTTGATTGATGATAAATATCGATTTGAATTGCTCCAAGAGCCTATTGACGATATTAATTGTGATAAAGCGATAATTTATAATTATGCAAATAAGTAATTAATTAATTATATGGTTTATAAATCTGGGTCGCTTTGAAAATTGTCGTAAATTGCCACTTTTAAATATCTTCATTTTCAATTTTTTCCCTGTATCTATATAAAGTACATAAAGCACGCGAGTGTTTCTCTATCAGATAAGGGTGAACATTTGCTTATAATTTGTTTTTTAGTATTTTGAAACATATATTAGGTGGAAAATTTGCATTTTTCAATTGTAATTAATTCCGATGAGTTAATGTAGGAGAATTTTGAATCAGCATTTTATCGGCAAGATCTGTCCCAATATTTTTAGTATTATGGTGAAACATAGCCTCGTTAATGATTAATATTATTATCATATTATCATTATCTATTATTGATATACAGAGTCACTATTATCACAAGATAAATCCAATTATTCAATAATTATCAAAACTTTTATACCATAAATTAAAAATTCATCATTATAATGCTCCAAGTTTTATTTTACTAATTGCATTTAGTGAGGAATGCCTTGGCGATTCACTCTCCCCATGTCAATATTTCTTCAATAGACAGTTATTTTCAACAATGCATTAGCTACTATATACAGGGTTCATATCTAAAAGGAGTTGTAAAAGCTTTATTTACTTGTTCTAATATCAATACAAAGCTTTAAAATTTAATCCAAGAATTCAAGTACCTGCTTTCCTTCAATTCATATCTTTAGCTTCCAATTTCTTCTTTCCTCCTTTTCTAACACCTCTCCTCTTCGATGGTAGCCATAATTTATTATTAAGCAAAGTATATGGATAATATTGATTTTGAAGTTTATGATAAATAGGTTTCATTGATAAATAAATATCTATACTTGCTACAATAATAAGGAAAAGTATACGAAAAGTATACGGAAATGGAAATGAGACAGTATATGAATTTTAGTATTTAAATTTTTAAACTAATAATGTCTTCGTTTTATTATTAAAAAAGGGGGGTTGAAATTTACAAGAATTGAAAATAAAATTCGCTCATTTAAAAACTAAACTACCCGAAAATAATGGAGAATTTTTTTATTTACACATGATTGCCAAAATCATTAAGAGCTTTCAGAAAATCCACTTAAAGATATTTAGCTCAAAGAATTTCCTCTATTTCCTTATTAACCTTGAAGTTTTCTACAATGCAAACAGAGATTGAAGACAACACACATTCATTCATCCTTTCAGCGTCGATTACTCAATTTTCGGAAAATACAGAAAATACACGAAAATTGTTTATCGACTGATATTCAAAAGAATCGTCATCGATCAATGGATTTATTTTAAAACTATTGGTAAATCAGGCAAAGTTGGAATTTCTGGAGCTAGATTATCTACAGTCATATAACCCATTGATTCTAAAACAGATTTAAGTTTAGGTCCAATTGCTCCTCCAACATAACCTCCGGTGTTATTGATTGCATCTTCTAATGTTCTACCTGTAAAT